CTGTTCTTCTCAGCAAGTTTATACATCATATTCTACATTACATTATTGCTGCTATGATTTGTTTTATAAAAATTAAGCCAATCCTAAGACAAGAGCAACATTACCACGGAGCTTGTCTGCTTTGGTTCTAGAAACTCCATTTGAGACATAAACAACATTACCACAAAGCTTATCTGCTTTTGTTCTAGAAACATCATCCAAGGGACTTATTTCCATCCATGACCTTTAACAAACTCCCCATTCTCACAAGAGGATCTCACATGCACTCATCTTCAAATTAACCACACAACAGAAATATTCTCTCACTATATTTTGTAGTAAGTTTCTCACACTAGGTAAAACTGACAGCTTTCTTCTTCACACCTGTGATACTTATTAAATCTTCGACAAGATATTCAATCATGCCAGCCAAAACATTCCAGGTTAGGTCAGTGACTTGACCTTAAGCTCAACCCTTGGAGAAAACAAAGTATACTAGCTTCTTCTGACTAGAACCACATAGACCCAACAGGGGCATAGACAACTACACCTAGTAGCCACAAGTCATAACATGTTGCCTGTAATCTTCACAGGCTTGAATTACACGCAATCTCCATAACTACTACAAAAATAACCATATATAAGTTATAAGCTCCTCCTATCATGGACATATAAGGCTTCTTCCGAGGATGAACACTTGGACACCAAGAGACTTCACGCACTCACTCAAACGTATCAATAACTCATCTTGAATATGATATACCAACTCCAGGTCTTCAGACTTTTACAAGGTCATGTCTGATGCATGGCCCTACATAACTACACAAATATCCATACATCTTTGGATAGCCAAGATAGCCTGAACACATACTTGGACATCATACAAACACAAGCCCTCATACTTGCAACAGAGGAAAACCACCTTTTTCGTATTCCTTTGCTAGTACTAGTGAAGTATTCAACATAGTAGTTATCCAGTCATAAAGCATACCACTAAGGACAGGATCAGGATTTGCATCTTCTGGTCCACAAAGTTGGAACTCCTTCTTTTGATAACCATGTTGATCCTCAATCTTCCATAATCATAATCCCAAACCTTCCTTTATAAAATGATGTTACAACATCATCTAGGACATCAACCTTTCTTCACAGATTCCAATAATTCAGTTATTGATTTATCAACCAAAGAGATTATTACACTTGATAGTCTTTTTAGGAGAAGATCACAAAAGATTACATCTTCTGTGACTCATTCAAATTGATATAACCACTTGATCACCATAGAGAGAAATAAACTCTCAACAATATTTGAATCATCAGTTCAGATAGTAGATTTGCATCCATACCTTGGATAAGTACTCAGCTCCCCACAATGTATTTGTTATCAGAGGGAAAACTTCCTCACACAACTGCAGATGATACTCTTTTTCAACAGATGTTAGAGCACTTGAACTGACACCCTTCTTCTTCATCGTTCAACACACGAGGATCCTTTTAAAATTCCAGACTTGGTCAGAGACTGGTCTTTAGCTCCATCATGATCAAATATTCCAACTTTGAACTCCATAATACTCACCTCATGATCTACACAACAACTTCCTTTTAGAGGGAACACACACCTAGAGATGATGTCCCGACATTAGATACGACATCATCCATTCTTACTATGGTTTTTAGGGGTAACCTCCATGGTAACTTATAAGAAACTCTTGTGTGGGTTAACACAAGGAAACAAACCAACAACAACTGATCAATCTTCAGGATTAAACTATCAACATATGCAGGGGATTGCACGAGCCTCGTCTCAATAAGCTTTTCTTTAGACGTCATGTCTGACTTTGAGATGATGGGTTCCATTGTCTGTACTTTACAAAAGCATCAGTTTCCCTTGGTTATTCAAAAACAATGCTCTTCAGATTTTAACATCTTCAAAGATATCATGACATTTTGTCTGATATTATATCAACCCTTGATAATGGGATCTTTTCCAACAACTTCTGAGGGTACACAAAGAGAATCACCAATTCTCTTTCTTAAGGGAAATTAAAGCAATACTCAGGAGCATCAAACATTGTGGTTGGATCACAAAACTCCTCTTCAAACATAATCTCTTATATGGCCACAAACAGGATTCCATGAGTCTAGTTCCTTTGATCAGAAGAATCTTCCAGATACTAACTCATCTCATATACATAAAGGGTTTGGTGGAGATTCCTTTATGAGTTCTTCTCAAGAGCATGAAGCTCACATGGAGTAGATAGACTGTTGATCGTGTCCTAATCAACCTCCATAAACTATATGCCTCCTCTTCCAGAGCAAGAGTAGGTTCCAAACCAAAAAGTATTCATAACATTTTTGTTCAGCACCCAAAGCATTTGTTCTTCAACTGGTAGTTGCATGCCTGCTGAAATAATGTTATAACATCCCATAGAACATCAGTTCCTTCTTCTTGGAACACACCATCCTTGAATGTCTTCAAGGTATATATCTAAATGTATATAAGCATCATTGGTCAAACAATCTTATTGATAAATGTCTTTATGAGTGGAGTTAAGGAAAATCTCAAGTATCTTTGACACTTTTAAAACGATTGAAAATGTCAGTATATATTCTGTTGAGGGTAAAAACCCTAGTATCCTTCCCATACTTTCAGAGTTATATCAGAAATCATGCAGCAGAATATAATGAACTCCTCGACAATATTCAGACACAATACTTAAACCATTATCCAATTACAAGTATGGCAACCTAGGATTGAAGAAATAAACCCTACATACAACAGTTTCCCACTAAGTTGCAGGTCATTCAGGAACAATACATGTCACATATAACCAATGATCCTTTCCAAGGGATCACCCATATAGTAGTATGAATTGTCCAAGTTAAAACCTCTTTTCAGTAAATATTTTCTTCCTTGCCCATGACCAGAAAGTACCTTCCCAAGATCTCACCCAGAACAGAACAAAATGTATACTCTTATACCAATTGAAATTCTGGCACAACAGACTCAGATGTCTTACAAGGATATCGAGACATCTGATCTGACATAAACATGCAGGCAAGATAAAACAGTACTAAAAAGATAAAGAACACACCAATATTGTTTACCCAATTCAGTGTAAACCTACTCTGGGGGCTACTAAGCCAAGAATGAAGTCCACTATCAGTAGTATCAATTTGCAGACCCTACAGCCAACACACTCATTGAGGATCTACACACTTAATCACTACCCAACGAACCTTCTACCTAGGTCCTCCCTAGATATGGAATATCCTCATCCCACTTCCAATCGTCACAATAATGTCTAGCAGTCAACATCTCAGTCTCTGCGTAGACGACCCTTTACTAAGATTCTGATCACACAGATAAACAGTTTGAAAGACATACTTCCATGACAACCTAGCTAAGTCTCTAAGTCAAACTCCAATGTTTGTTAGCTTTGCTCCTAACACATCCTGGAGTTGCTTTAAAGCTTCCTCCAGGAACAATGCATCTCTTACCTACAGGCTTCAAGATGAACATGGTAACCTTCCCACGACTCGGGAGGTTTACCTTGACAGAACCCTTAGAATTATACATCTTGAGCCATATCTTTTCTAGGTTATAAATCCTTCTATTTATAATCTGTTATCCAACTGGTTTTGGGCTTTCAATCACAACAAATCAGCTGTAACAAACTGCAGAAACTTCTGTCCCAAGAAAGGTCTTCAATCTTTTCTTTCCTAAATAATCTCCTTATTTAGAAAGTCTTCATTCTCCTTGATTTCTGATTGAATTTTCTAGACCTTTAAATATGTGTCACATAGGATGCATAATATTCTCCTGAATATTCTGCTTATGTTAAGAACAAACTGAATCTCATTAATCCAGCTCAGCAGGCGCGACGTCAAGACATCTTCTTTAACATGTTGTTCCAGTTGTTGAAAAAGTTCAACACAATATGTCATGACATTGTAATAGGACTTATTGTTGTACATGTTATTCTTAGCAAGTTTATACATCCTATTCTACATTACATTATTGTTACTATTATTTGTTTTACAAAAATTAAGCCAATCCTAAAATAAGAGAACTAACAACTATTGATATCAAACCCACGTTTTTCCTCCATAACGCTTCGCCTTTACAGTTTAGGCGCTTATGGGTCTTTTAACCATTTTGGGCTTCTTACATGTCTTGGGTCCAATCCATTCACCATGAATCTTTCTCTGATCGACTGCACTTACGAAACTTTTGTCGACTATTTGTGAGATCATCCATGATCGACATGCTTATGTAGTCGACTCCTCATAATTTAATATTCTTTAATGCTCTTAAAAAAACTTTTTTGACTTTTAATTTGAATTTCTCTCTTTATGAAAAATTCTATCCAACAAGGTGTAATTCATTTTATAAAATTTTAAAATATCTTTAAGTGAATACGTGTTAACAAACTCTTGGCAATTTATTTGTAAAATATGGTGGTTTACTTTCATATTCATGTTTTGATGGTTTTATTTAACATAAAATCTTGTAGAGTCTACACATAGAAATAACATGATACTAATATGCTTAGTGAGGCTTGATAACCTCTATAGTCTAGAAATGCTTTAACTGCGTGCGCAATAGTCACAATCAGCCTTTTGCGCCAGTGGATTTGTGGGGCGCACAACACGTCGTCGTTTTACTTCTCCCAAACAACATCAAAAACCTTCCCCGCGAAAAACTCAATCATTTCGTAACCGCGTAAATCACGCTCAAAATCAAAAACTCCTTTTCTTACGTGGCACTCTTTCATTGGCCACTAGTCGACAATCGTAACCACCACCCAACCAGCGTAAAGCGCACACTCAACACCACAAAAAAGCGTTCCCCTTTCCTCTCTTTTCTTACCCTGTTTCACTCAGTGAGTGATAACTCGGTCCCGCGACACAATCATCACGTCCCTTAGTACTGCATAAATTCCCCCAATGTATCTTTCCCGAGACTCCAAACAACTTGAATCCTCCTTTCCATGCTTCTCTGATTTTCTTTTCTTTCCATGGAAACTCGCGAAACCGCCGCAAAGTCGGGTGAAAACCCGATTAACGGAATTAGGAAAGTGAATTTACGAGCTGAGATTGACACATCGCCGCCGTTCGAGTCAGTCAAGGAAGCCGTGACCCGTTTCGGCGGAAGCGGACCATGGTTACCTCTTTACAGACTTGGAGAAGCTTTTGTATGTTTTTCCTTCCTAATCTTTCTATTTTTGTGCTGGATTAATTCTGTAATAATTTGTAAAAAAATTAGCTGCATTTTATTTATAAATAATAATGTGCTTTCACTTTTTTTAGGAGAGTTAAAAATAAAATATCATATAGTTTATGTGCTGATTGCAGAACAACTTTGAAGATTTTGATTTAAAGAAAGTGGAGGAACAAGCTGCGGAGTTGGAGAAGGATTTGATTGTGAAAGAACTCGAAACGCTTGATGTGCTCGAAGAGCTTGGTGCGACAAAAAGGATTGTGGAGGACTTAAAGCAGCAGCTACAAAAAGAGGCATTGAAACTGTCCGCGACTCCGGATTTACATTCTTATGAACATGTTGGAGCTCCGGTTGTTAAGGAGATGAATAAGGAAAGTAATGATGAAGAGAAGATGTTGCAATCACCTGATATGATTTTTATGGAATTGAAACAAGCCAAGGTGAATCTTGGTAATACTATGAATGAACTTGAGGCCATACAATCGTCGGTTGAGTCTTTAAATAAGAAGATGAAGAAGGAGAAAGCTTATCTGGAGAGGACAAGAGAAAAGCTTGCATCCAAGTTTGCAGCTATTTCTGCTCAAGAGAAGGCCCAAGAGCAAGCTAGATTCAATCCACCGCCGTCACCTCAGGTGGAATTCACTTTCGATATTCCTGCAAATATGAGGGATTTTGTTTGTGATTCTGAGCAGCACAATGGAATGGTTGAAACAGGAAAATCTCAAGTGTCAAAGCCGTTGTCTTTGTATGAAGAACATGAGTTTAGTGTTAAGACCGCTGAGATGAGGTGGCTTGCAGCCAAAAAGATGGAAGAAGCTGCAAAGGCAGCAGAAGCTATTGCTCTTGCTGAAATCAAGGCTCTGTCTGGTGTTGAGAGATCATATGAATTCGCTCTACCGGAGCCTCGGAAAGTCACTTTTGCTTTAGCCGAAAACTCTCCTCTAAATCCCGGGGCTATCATGATACCTGAGGAGTTTAACTTGAAGAAGGTAATAGATTCGAAATTTCAAATGGATGAAACAAATATTTCTAAACGGACTATTCTGAAAAAGTTGGAGGAGGCATCTGAAGAAATTCTGCGCAGCAAACAAGTCTTAAATGATGCTTTAAACAGAATTGAAATCGCAAACAGAAAGCAACATGCTGCTAAGGAAGCTCTTCGGAAATGGATACCCGAGGTTGATCTAAAGGAGAAGCCAGTGTATAACTCTTTTAACTTCAACAACTTTAATCAAGCTGGAATTCGTCATGACTCTTCTCTACCAGATGTAACCAGGTCAACAATAGCAAGCAATAATCCGAAGCGTGTTTCGAGGCCAACAACTTCAATGAGAGATGTACTTAGCAGAAAGCAAGTTCCTGAAGAATATGCTGCAAGAAAGGAGATGGAAGAGCATACTGAAAGACGAAAGGTAGCATTGAGTCAAATGCTTCAAGCATTGAGGGAAGATCTAACCCTTTCACCAGAACCTGAGAAAGATCATGGGATTCATCAAAAGCAGTCCGCGACACCAAGGAAGAAGTTTGGATTCATCCCTATGACTAGGACAAGTAAGAAAAAGACATGAAACTTCATTCTAAGTTACCGTTACCGTGTCATTCAGGATTCATTATTGCTTCATGTGTTTGATTTCCTGTTATTTATGTAGAATAAAGTTTGTGTGGGTGTCTAATTTTGTTAAATATGTTCTGTTTGAGACTTTGAGTGAAGGTGTATATTCTGAAAACTAGCTTTGATGGAGCTAGTAGATTATTCATGTAGAATATAATTTATTTCAAAATTATTATTATTTTTATTTTTTTAATATAGTAATAATTACTATTTTTCTAATTCTGTTTTTTTTAGTATTTACTCTAAATATTATTTTTAATATATTAATAAATTTAATTTTATAAAATTATAAAAGTATAACATCTTATAATAATATTATTAACAGTTTTTTTGAACGGAGGAGGAAGTATATTCTAAGCATTTTCACCAATGTTGGAATCACCATGGACCTCCTCAATTTATACTAAGTGGTCATAATTATCATAGAATCAAAACTTTATTGTCGGATCCTGATAACGCTCCAAAATTTGCACATTTATATATTTACGACATACAAACTGAACTAAAGAATATACTAGTAAGTATATGTAATCAATGTAGTGTCCAATTTTTACGTCATTTAGATATGTGCATTATGATTATTTGTTTTTCCGATGCAATACTAATAATGAATCCTTTGATTTTTTTTGTTGGTAAAACAATATTTTAAAAATTGAATTAGTCATTAAATTTATAAGAATATTAATTTATTGATCGAATTACTCAATTATATTATATAATTAAATCGAATTAAATTTGATAATTTGATTGAATAATCTAATTATTATAATAAAATTATATTATTTATTAAATCAGTCGAATCAGATGATTCGGTTTTAAAAAATATTATAACATTTATAAAATTTTAAAATATTATAATTTTTATATTTTTATTTTTTAAATTTAAATTTTAAATATAATTATCACACAAAATAAAATAAAATAAAATATAAATTTACATAAATTTTGAATAAGATTAATTGTAATAAAGAGAAAATTGTTTTAGATAAGTTATGAATAAAATCTAATTATATATATTTTTTTAAATTATAAAAAAAAACGTCATTTTGTTCGGAAAAAACACAGACATTTAATCTATTGATTTTTTAAAAATATTAAATTATTAATTTTGACCGATTCTAACCGATTTTTATCGATTCAATAATATACTTAATTCAACAATTAATAATTACTTCTTTAATTTTCATTCGACTAATTTGATATTGTTTCGGTCTCATGTTTAACACATTTAAATAGAAACTATGATTTCTAAAATGTGTTTGATATTTTGGAACATGGGATCCCGTGCAATGACTTTGAATTTGTTTGGAAAATGTGATACAAATTTAGAATGCACGTATCCCTACAAATGTGTCGTAGGTTTGATAATTCAGATTGGAAGAAACATTGCTGTACAAGATAGTACTAGAACTAGAGCAAGACTTATGTGGTCACAATCACAAATTAAATCTAGTTAGGCACACACATAATTAGATGGACGGTGATCGATTATGAATGGATTCGAGTTCAAAATAGTTAATCCGAATTAATTTACGGTTGAAAAAATTGAATTCAATTTCACTTAAAATTAAATTCGATTTTATTGATTGATAGGTTATCGATTTAATCGATTCATTCGGTTGAGTCTAATCGATTTGGATTACTGAAATCAATTTTTTATTTTGTTTAAATAACAAAATTTTGATCAATAAATTCTAATCAAAATCCTATCATTCATGTAACACTCATCACATTAATGTCTCAATTTTATATTTTATTTTCTTCGAATACTATGAGTAGCTAAACCCCATAATTCTAGGGGGTGTCACTGATTTGATTTTGTAAACAACTTTGATTTCGAATTTTTTTAATCTATGTATTTTTCATATTCAATTCAATTGTACAATGTTTTTATGCTTTCTTTGTTGGACCAACAAGGATTAATTTACAGTTAACAATTAGCTAGACTGCAATTGTTAAGGTTTTTGTACGATATGATTATAGTATATATCACCTAGGACTAGGGATATCATATAGTTACCAGATAACTCTTGATAAAATAAAGGCTTGACTCCATCAGAAATCTCTAAGGACTTAGGATTTAGGATGAATGTTCAAAGATTTTCTCACTGAGGACTTAGGGAAAAATAATCTAAAGGGATGATAATTGAATGTTATGAACTTGTTGAAGAAATTAGGATTCAAGGTTGTTACATGGTAAATTATACACTTTACCCTAACATGTTACTCATATATGTGAAAAAGCCTATTTATATTTCTACGTTCTTTTTACTTATCGTTAAGTGGAATTTCCAAACAAAACCCCTAATTAAAGTTTGTGTTTAATTGAACCACGGATTAAACTCGGTACTTCTGCGCAGTCCTTGAGACCGACATACGGGAAATTTTCCCTAGTATTACAAGAGGCAAAATAGTACACTTGATATTTTTCCGATCAAGTTTTTGGCACCATTGTCAGAGACAGCCAAAATATAGAGTTCAATTTTGGTTCAATTAATATTTTGTTGCTTTACAACTAAAATTTTTATTTTCTGTTATTTTTTATATTTTTTGTTATTACTGATTTGTGTCTAACCCTTGTATGCGAGGAAAGCCCTCAGCTGAATTTCCTTTCGACGTAGAAATCGAAAGAACTTTTCATGCAAGGCACAAACAAGCTCGAGTAGTTAGACTAGAATCAGAAGGTTCATTAGATCATTCAGGTCCAGAGCCCGAAAAGGAAAGACCAATGGCTGAAGATCCACCACCACCTGAGAGACTTCTTCGGGACTATGGAGGTGTAAATGCTCTAAGAGGTTGGTTGTGAAGATGTGAAAAACACAAGAAGGGGGGTTGAATTGTAAAACTTAAAATAAATGGCTTGACAACACAGTATTTTTATCCGGATTCGTTTGATCTCAAACTACTCCAGTCCACCCGTCAAGGTGATTTCGCCTCTCTCCAACGTGGTCTTAATTCACTATTCTCAAAGGATTAAAACAGTTACTTTAACAACTGTTAAAGTCTTCTTGAGTACAACCACAATCCGGTTAATCTCAAGGAACTTCTTTTACAAATGAATTGAACAAGTGTGTTTTTATTTTCTTACAAAACTGTATATCACAACTGTGATAATTACACTAAATAAGCTTGGAATAAAATGACTTTGCTTAAGCTTTGAATATGCGTGGTTTGGATAGCTTAGCAAAAATTGAGTGCGTACGTACATGCTTCTTTTCACAAGCAGTCCTGTTTATATAGGCAAGCAAGGATACATTGTCCATAAAGCAGGTTTAATGATAATAATGCACTTTCCTTTTGTAGAAGATCTTTGTCTGAAGAAGGCCGTTAGCATTTAATTCTGTCTTGAATAACTAGTAATGCTTCAGAGTCTTCTTTGTTGTATCTGCTGATAACGCTTCAGAGTCTTGATGACTTGGTAAAGATGTCTTTGATCAGAGTTAGAGTGTATTTGTTTAGGCGCAGATTCTGGTCATCAAACTTCAGCGTGTAGTGTAGGTTGCTAATCTTCTGATGCTGATTCCATTCTTATGCTGATTCCATCAGAACTTCTGCATATACAAAGCATAATTTTAAGGAGCATAATTGTTCTTTATATATCTTTGAAGTAATTTACTCTTTGTATTTTGTTATCATCAAAACACTAATCAAGGGTTGTAGAATTAAACTATGTTCTAACAATCTCCCCCTTTTTGATGATGACAAAAACCAGATTTTTCAATAAAGAATAAAGGATAAAAAGTATAGAATTAAGAAGAAAAACTCCCCCTGAATTGATTACTTCCCTTTAATTCCATGAGTCTTTGAGCATCAGAATCTTACTGTATCTTTCATCAGAGTTTTATACCTGTTCAATCTTTTCAGAAGAGAGACATTTAAGTAGATCAGAATGTTTGAGACTTATGTCTCAGTAATCCGTTATTGAAAATATCTTATTCTTTCTCCCCCTTTTTGTCAGTTATAAAAAAGAACAAATAATCAAAGCCAAAATGAGTTTATATTAAAATCAGAATCAACGATAAGTTCAGAACAACAGTAATGTAAGAATATTACAGATAAACATGTTTTTAAAACATGGGAAATTCTAAGAGGGGGGAGGAAGACGCGTGAACAAAGCTTCCAACAAGCCCTTGATCTGGATGTTGGTTTCCTCTTACTTGGTTAACATGCTCTTGATTTCTGAAATTTTGTCATCCTGTTTATCCATTCTTTCCTGCATCAAAATATCAGATCTCTTCAGGTCTTCTAGAGTTTGCCTTTCATAGGAGGAAGCTTGAGAATCTTCAGTAACTAGATGCTTCTCAGAGCATTCTGCAATGTCCTCTTTTTGACCCAGTTCTTCAGCAGGAGTCATCTGCTCTGGAGTATCAGTCAAATTAAGATCTTCTGACTCTGGTTGAACTTTATCTGCTGGACGATGTTCAGACCAGGGAGCATTGTCCAGAGGGAGAACTTCTTCCTTAAGCAGCTGGCTCAGAACTTGATCTTCAATTACTCTTAGCAGATTATTGAAGTTCTGTTGAACTTGTCCGTAGCTCTGTTCTTGCATTTTATGAGTTTCAGAACATACCCATTTTCTGAAACTTGTCCAAAGATAATCTGATGCAGCAGGATCAATCAGCTCAAGACTAGCTTGCTTCAGGGAAGTTATCCACTTCTGCATTTCTGTTTCAAATATCAATAAACTGGTACCAACATCTGGTGTAGGTTCAGATGGTTTTGGTTTTGGAATGGCTGTTTTGTTGGTTATGGCAGCAAGGCGTTCAAAAATAGTTAAATCAATGACAGTTTTGGCATTGTCATTTGGATTGATCTTCGGTGAGGAAGTGAGAGAGTCTGGAATGATTATTGGACTAGTTGGGGAGTTTGGTGGAGTTGATTCTAGTGAAGAGGGAATTTGGGGAATATCCAGAATGGTCAGGGGTATACTGATGGTCATAGGTTCAGTGATTCCAG